CAGGTCAATGACCTCTTGATGTAGTTTAATTACATTTTCAAGGTCATCCAAAGACAATGAACCTATCTTGCGTTGCATTAAATTACGTTTTCAAGGTCATAGAAAGGTAATGGTGCTTAATTACAGTCTCGAGAGAATACAAGTCCATGGCCCCATGTGTTGCGGTTTCAAATTACATGTCGAGGACATCCAAGGTCAATGACCTCATTTTTGTAGTTTAATTACATTTTCAAGGGCGTCCAAGGTCAATGAACCAATTTTTTGCGGTGTGAGATTACAATTTAAAGGTCATGCAAAGTCACTGTCACCATTTTTATTTAGCGTCTAATTACGTTTTTCAGGGTTATCCATGGTCAATAACCCCATTTGAAAATTACAGGTGAGTTCAATCTACATTATGCCGTTATTTTCGCTGGTCTTGGAAAGTAGATCAAACTATCGATTAACTCCGCTGTTTAAAGTCCAAATTGATCAAAGTCGATTCCCCGCTGTTCAAAGTCCAAAGGTTGCCGACCGGTCAAAGTCCATTGCTCACCGTTCTAAAGGTTGACGGTCAAAGTTAATTCCCAACTTTCAAAGTCTCGAAGTTTGTTTCCGATCAAAGTCCAAGGTTTCGTGTAAAGTCTATATAGATTGCCGACCGATCAAAGTCTATTCCCCGCAATTCACGTCCAAAAGTTTTCAACACTCAAGTTACACTTTCGAGGCCATAGAAGGACAATGACCTCATGGTGGCTAATTACATTTTCGTGGTCATCCAAGGATAGTGAACCCTACTTTTCGGTATCAAATAGCGTTTTAAAGGTGTGTTGTGGTGTCAAATTACATGTTACAGGTTATTCAAAGTCAAATAGATTTTTAAGTGGTGTATAATTATACTCTCACGGTCATCTGTGAACCCATTTTTGTCGTGACAAATTATATTTTCGTCATTCAAGGTCAATAGCCTCGTTTTTCATGTAGAGTCTAATTACATTATCAAAGTGAGCCAAAATTATTTTATGTGATGGCTAATTCCATTTTCAGGGTCATCCAAGAACAATGAACCTATTTTTTGAAGTTTGTTTCCGATCAAAGTCCAAGGTGTCGTGTAAAGTCTATAGGTTGCCGACCGGTCAAAGTCTATTCCCCGCTATTCACGTCCAAAAGTTAATTATCGGTCAAAGTCAACATAGTTAGCTCGCCGTTTAAACGTTGCTTATCAATGTGATGATGCTATCCAGTGGGAGATCAAAAGTCAAGTTAAAAGTTTCCTCATATGGAAGCCCATTAAACGAATGTGAGGTATAATGGATTAAAAGAGAGCAATTTCCGACAAAAATGCTAACTTTTTTAGCACTTTTAGAAAAATGAATTACGTTTTCTGTATCTACTGT